AAGAGAACAGAATACGAGGAGAAATAATACTACTGTTCCTCATGTGGCGAAAAATACATACCCACCGAATGAAGAGTGGACTAAATGTAGTGTTTGTGGTAACTGGTGGCACGACCAGTGTAGGTACTAGGTTTGAACACGGCACTTTTTTTGTGATACCATTAAAGTTTATTTATGCTTTTACACTATACCTAACTAATTAACATCTTTTTGTTTCATTCACTATGAAATTTTCGATTTTATAGCTTTTTAAAACTTAAGTACACACTCTTGACCCACATGACTCTACCTATGCCTACGTTATAAGTAAAATTGATGTGTCTATCTATAATATTAAAATTTCACGTGGTAGAGCCATACTGCAGCTATGTTAATAGTATAGTTGTAGCACGAATGGGTCGGCTCGACCGGGGAAGGACCACGCTCGCACAGAATACCAGCGTAAAATAGCAGCTTAATGCTGTTGTGTTTCGTATGGTGAGTGTAGAGAACCGGAGACGGAGACCCTTTTTACTGGAAAAGAGGCATTCTATCTTTGTCTTTACGTCTGACAACGCATCTGTATTTTGATTTGCAAACGAAGATATCTAGATGTAGATGTCTATGGGCCACAGCAACCACTTACCATCAGGTCGATTGTGTGCTCGTTTGTCACCCATATTCTATAAAAAAAACTGGTGTGTATTATGCTTAGGGTGTTATGTGCATCATGTTATGACATAAATAGCTATTTATAAATTTTTGTCTGTCCGGGCTAATCATCGGAATGGCTAAATCGATTTTGATGAAGCTTTACGAACAGACAGCGAGCAATACCAAATTTTTATTCGAAAAACTTGAAATCTCTTGAAAAAAAAAACGAAAGCTTTATACAATAAATGGCGATTGATTATTATCTAAAATCTAAATAACGTCACATCAACAGATCCTATCCAGGCGAAGCCGGGGCGGGTCGCTAATATAAAATTAATTTAAGTATCTACCACGTTGCGTATAAATGTGTTGTGCATTTCCTAGCGTTAGTTATAAATGCTTCATTATGCCTCACTTGCCTACACTACTGTAACTCTAGGTACACACTACACTTTATTTTTTATTTACGTTACATTTATTTATTTATTACAAACAGTCATTTACAAAAAATCTTGTAATGAATTACAAAAATAGGTACCTAGATAAATATGTTTGTGGTCTGTTACTAACCGGTACCTATGTACCGAAATAGAAAGAGATAAAAAAAGAAGTTAAATCTCAAATTAGATTACTTTTCCACGTCTGTCACCCTATAAACCACGAAGCGTGAAGTTGAACCGAAAGTAAACAACTATTTCAAAATGGCGTCGACAACAGTAGGCAACGAAGGAAATCGTGTCAAAATATTCAAAACAATTTGAATTTTAAATCTAATTCAATGGAAATTAAGACTAAAATTCCGTTTCAAATTTCTGAAATGTAGTTAACGTTGAAATGAGGGTGACTTTAATTAAATAGGGGAGACTAGCGATTCCTCATTGCGGCTTTTCCACCGTTTTAATAGTCTTATACCTATTACTAACATCTATAATGTTAGATATTACGGAGCATAATTGTCGAAGTTGCAGGTTCTAGGTTTGTGTGAGTTTTTGTAAATTGACAGAAAGTCAAGCAGAGTCAGAAAGGCTGGCAGATTATGCATCACGAAAAACGAAGCAAACCGTGTTAGTTAGAATGCATAGGATGATAACAACAAAGGTGTAGAAATCGACCGAACGTCTGGTTCTTCTATGATAGAAAGGGAAGGGACGAATCAAATCATGTAATTTCTGCGCCTCCTCTTCTTAATCTATTCTGTAAAATACCGGCTGGATACTTGGCGCCTGTGCTAGAGAATGACAAGATTGGTTTCAACGAAATCATGGTAGCATTTACTAAGGTAGCATTTTGCAGCACATGTTCATATTTGGCAGCATTAGATACTTGCACAGACTTGCGCTTTATTGAAGGTAAGAAGTGGTTGCGGCCGCACCTTTGCAAGCACACCTAGCTTCCTTGCAGCCGTTTTGGTCTTTTTTGGACTTAAGAAACCACCCAAAATTTTGATCAAAGAAAACTCAACCCCAAACAACTTATCTAAGGTAATTAGTTTATTTTAAGAAACATACCGGACTCCATTTTGCGATGAAAAAACGCATTTGTTCTTTGGAGCTAATGAATCACATAGATTGACATGGCTCCATTCAGAGAATCTGCAGTGAGATATGTACACGCTTAATTATAGGTAAGCTTCGCTTTCGGACTGGATTTGTACTTTCGACTGACGCGAGCGTTCCGTTGGTATCTTTCCACAACTAAAAGTTTCCAAAACACCCACGCTAGGAATTTCTTTTCAGGTTCATTTCCTTATGGGATTATATGTAGGTACAGTTTACTTTTTTTATAGGATAAGGGTGACAAACGAGCACACAGTCCACCTGATGGTAAATGGTTGTTGTGACCCATAGACATCTACATTCCTATCCTCGATTACGAATCAAAACGCAGATGCGTTGTCACCCGTAAGGACTAAGATGGAATGCTTCGTTTCCAGTAAAAAGGGTTTCCGGTTCTCTAAACGCACCATACGAAACACAGAAGCGTTAAGCTGCTATTTTACGCTGGTATTCTGTGAGAGCGTGGTCCTTCCCCGGTCGAGCCGACCCATTCGTGCATACAACTATACTGTTAATATAGCTGCAGTAGGTATGGCTCCACGTAAAAAAACTTTGAACCTTAAAAAGCAACGAGAGTCTGTAATGTCTGTAAGCCGTGTAGTGGCAGTTTAAGAGTAGGTATACACTACTCTATCATACGTCCCGTGAGTTATGAGGCGACAAAATGAAATAAACCAAGAGATGGGCATCAGCATCTTTCTAAAACAACAAATAAGAACTGCGTTTGCCAACCCGCCCACCAAGCGTGGGAACTATGGCAAATTGGCAACTATGGCAAAAAACTATGAGGCGGACGGTGGAATTATGCCAGGCTGTAACGGTAACGGTAACGGAGACTCGTTAAAATTATTCGTGGCCTTTAGAAACACCAAGTTACCTGCTTGTTCCGCGCTGGATCGAAGTCGTAGCCCGCAGTAGGTACCCCAGACAAATATTTGTTCAAATATTTGGTATTGTCACACCGTCTATAAAGAAAAAGTTTTTTTTTTATAGGATCGGGTGACAAACGAGCACACAGTCCACCTGATGGTAGGTAAGTGGTTACTGTGACCCATAGACATCTACATCTATCCTCAATAAAGACTCAAGATGCAGATGCGTTGTCACCCGTGAGGACTAAGATGGAATGCCTCTTTGCCAGTAAAAAGGGTCTCCGGTTCTCTACACTCACCATACGAAATACAGCAGCGTTAAGCTGCTATTTTACGCTGGTTTTCTGTGAGAGCGTGGTCCTTCCCCGGTCGAGCCGACCCATTCGTGCTATAACCATAATATAGCTGCAGCATGGCTCTACCACGTAGAAAAAAGTCTATAACTTGAGCATTTTATTTAGAAGCAATAATGCTGGTACTTAAAATAAGGTAAATCGCTTTTAATGGTCGGAAAACGACCTGATTTATAACAGTTCAAGAAATACGACAGTTTATATTGTAGAATAGGTACCTAGATACAATTTAAAAAAAAAACTTTTTTTTGAAATCCGCTATTTTGATTTCAGTTGTGTATAATAACTTTTCGGATTAGTAGCGGGTGGTAGATAGAATTTTTTGTAAAAAAAATATTATTAACTGTTTTTATTTTACGAATTCCGAACATTGACTATGTTCAACTGAACTGTAGTGCAATCTATACAAACTAAATATTGCGTAAATTGAAGATTTGTGAATTCCATAAAATAATTATTATTACATTTTATTTCGAAATATGTTTGTTTAGATTGAATTAAGATATTTTATAGTAAATTCTTATATTTATTTTATATTAATATCTTATTTTATATTAAATAAAGTCTTCGCTTATGCGCGACTACTACTCCCGCGCATGCATGCAGAGTAGGACACAATTTTTGTTTGGAATGGCTTCTCTAGTACGTAGTACATATAACTCAATGGGGAATAAACATTCGATGTCCACCAAGAAACTCTAAAGACAAAAGCCGACTAGAAACCACGGTTTATTATTTTTATCTATTATTTATTGATAATAATGATCTGATATTACGTTTAGCTATAAGCAGATAATAACTTAAGTTATGAAACTTATGAATTTATTTGTAGGTACCTACGTACAAACAATGACAATACTTAAATGATTGCCAATCATTAATAAAATATAAATATAATACACATTAGGATTTAAATTTTTATAGTTCAAAATTGAGCACAGAGTAATGTGGACACGCTTATTATCCGAACAAGCTGTAATGAGCTGTAATCAAGAAAATTGATGCGAAAATCAGACGATAATTTACATAGACTATTGGACATTTAACCTTAATAATCGGTTTCACGCCTCCCACGTCGCCAGCTGATGTCGAAATACAACAATTAGCCGATAAATTATAAATGACGAAAAGTGACAATTTCTCCAGTGACAAAGGTCGGTCTTATCGACGCTAAATAATGGAGCGCCCGTAGTTAGAGTCTCGTCTTCATCTCGGTAATTAACTGACTCCCCCCTCACTCGTCATCCTCGTCCCGCACCCGTCCGCAGCGAGCTAAATTAATCACACCACGAATCTCGCCCCCCAATCGAGGGACGGATTAAAAAGTTTTATTGGAGCGTCTAGTGTGACAAGCGGCCTCGCCTTTCGTCTTTCCGCCAACCAATCCCAATAGCGGCGCGTTGTAATGGGGCTATGCTATTGGTCCATCTTGGAACGTGGAACGCCTCGCCGCGCCGCCCGTGCCGGGTTTGACACGCCACGTCAGTTGCTCGAGGCGCGTCGAGTCGTAAGCCGTATCTTGTGAACGTTCCGCGAAGAACCTCCGATACCATTGTGACTTTTGTGTGATGGATGTGAATTGAACTATGGAAGAGGAGTCGATGTCCGGACACAGCTGTTCCGAAGACGATATCAGTGTAGGGCGACCCTCGCCGGCGCCTTCGAGGTCGCCATCACCTCAAGATTACTTCAGACCGTTGAAGCGCTTAAAAATGGCCTCGGAGCCGGTGGAGGAGCGGCGTGGTGAAGGCGTGAAGAGTTTCTCTATACTGGACATTCTATCGCACAGTCCACGCACTCCGCCGCGTATAGTGCGACCGTGGGATGCGTCGGGTTTTGAAAGACTACAGCGCTTGCAGCGCTTGGCTGGCGCTGCGCTGTTGGACGGTGAACGTTGGAGGTTAGCAGCTTTGGGGCTGCTCAGGCCGAGGGAGATGGCCCCGGCGGAATGTTGTGATTCAGCTTCCGAGAGGTCGTCGTCAGCATCAGATTGCTGCTCGGAGCCGAGGCGAGTGCCGCAGAGTTCTAATGCCCCCCACACGCCTCTTGACGCCCTTTTCCACATGACAAGTAAAACCTTCGAGGCGAATAATACTGACAATGGAGGTAAGTAAGTCATTTGTTTTGGTAGCAATACAAACTTGCGCCTGTTATACCTAGATTGGTTATAATGTATACATATGACTTAGATACTACTTTGTAATAAGGCAAAGGGACTTGAAAATCTTAACAAGTTTAGGTAGGACTAATAACTGTTTCAGAGGCTATTCAAAACAAAATTGTAAACATATTAATCATACTTAATTTAAATTTGAATTAGTTCTGGAAACGATGTGATTGTTTAAAATCTATGAAGTTTTTTACAGTAATATCAATTTACAATTAATTTTATATTTTTAATGTAACACCACAGAATAAATAATAGTAGGTATAAGGTAATATGCTAAGAAATAGAATATTTTAATACAATTATCTAGTAGGAAGGAATCTATGAAAAATATAGGTATATAATTTATTTTAAATGCAATACTTAATGTAGAGCTGCCATACTGAAAATCATTGCTCGCAAATTTAAGATTACAAATATTTTTATCAGCTTTATACGTGGTAACAAACTTTGAATGGTTTAATAGTTATTTATTTTAAAGCAACACGTACGTATAAAATATGGTTAACTTTAACTAACGGTTTGCATGACTCTATTTGGCGTTATTAACTATATCGATGATCTGAAATTTTACGAGTATTTACGGTAGGTACTATCTTATTACCCAAACAAATAAAAGAAAATGATGATGATGATGCTGATATCCTTCTCACCGAGTTCGACCATTGCATTGTTTACTGCACATTATGTATTAGATATCATGTTGAAAGTTTTTAATTACAATCAATATGATAATCTGCCAATACACCTACCTATCTGTGCTCTACATATTAACAACACAGCAAGGCTTGTGTCAGCATACCTTCCGCAAATAGTTCTGGGTGTGAATCCAAGCCAATATTTATACACAAATAATTAGTCTTCGAGATTAGAGTTATTGTGTTTTGTACTGTGTGTTTTCAAATGTTGTATTAAACTCTACCTCCTGTCTCAGGGACTCTCCGTGCCTCTTCGTAACGGATACAGTTGTCTGCTTCGGCACTTTCATTATCAGTCTGTAAATAGTATACTACTAGACATAAATGCTCTCTCAAGTTTGAAGGATTATTGGCGAACACAGTACAAGAGCGCTTACAACCTAGGCACCACTTTAATATCACCTGTCTAAATATTAAGTCTTGCGATTTTGAGATAATTAATCCATTATCAGTCTTGTATTACAAATTTTTCTAATACCTACCGTTTGTCAATTTTTACGTAACTTAAGAGACGACTTAAGGTCACAAAAGCTAGAAAATAATAATTTCTCGTTGTAACTAGATAATGATGAGGAGAATCTATGCGTGTGTCTATCATTATGTTTGATTTTTAATTTCGCGCGAGGTCTTAGGTAGTGTTAATTTTTGATTGATTTATATTTTTTTCTTAAAAAAAAAGTGATTTGTTTTTATTAATAACATCTTTAATTTAAATGTAAGAGTATATTAGGAGATGAAAATACTCAATTAAAGATGTTATTATTATTTAAACTTTATTGTAATACCAAATCATTTTTATTTTTACGGGAATCTTAGCTAAATAAATCCATCCTCTTCATTAAAATGGATTTCCACAAAGTTCTAAAGCTTGATTCCATTACTCTTAACGCCTACATTTTAAAAATATTAAATTAATTTTCACAGAGTAATCAATTTTTGCAATGAAAGTTGCGTATCCGTTGGTCGCGTTTGCTAATGATCCACACGCTGACGATCCAAATGTTGTTTTATTTATTTGTATTTGAAACATCATTAGCGGCGAATTTGAATTCGATTTGGTGCTCGAATCTACCAAACGACGGTCCGAATAATACATATTTGATTACTTATTTAAAATACGCTGATTTCCACGATATGGGCGACTGAATATGATTTGAAAAATCTAATTTTTCATTCAATGATAGATACCTTGTTGCGTTCAGCTGAACTTTATACTATATTATATATCATAAATAATATTAGATAGGTACTCTACCTTATGTTTAATCTATCATTATCTATCCATTATAGCCTATAAAAGTCTATCGCTGAACATGGGTCTCGCCCATAGATTTCCTCATAGGGAGGATTTTGCCACAGTTGCCACGCTTGGCAGGTGGGTTGGTAACTGCAGTTTTTTTTTTATTATTTTGAATTTTTATGAGGAAGCTCTTCTGCCCACTGGACGATATTGGGTAGTGGATATTGTAACACCGCCGCTACACGGTTTAATATTTAATCTTAACAGAGTTAAACATGAAAATGTTTTATATACGTTAATCATTTGCTCAAAACGCCAATACATGAAAACTATTAAAATAAATGTGTTCAACATACTATCTCAACGCTAAGTCACGTGAACGGAACAGGCAGACAGACTCAAAGATTTTTTCAAGTTTCGTTAAGTTTTTTTAGGAATTTAAACCGATACTTACAACATTTATCATCATAATAAAAATAAACTAAAACTGAACATTGAAATAACATTCACACAACAGTCCTACTCCCCACAGTAGGTATAGTGCCAAGAACGCTGTTGAGTTTCCTCACTGTATTGCTATAGGTACTTAGCCTTAGAGCGAGAAAAGAACCAGCTCTCTTATCACCAGCAGTGACGACAAGTCACGAAATAAGTTCCTTTACAAACTTCTTCACACGTGGACTCCATGGCTCAATAGTCTCTACAACAAATGGTACAAATTTAAAATCGATTTCATTAATTTTCATATTTTTCTTTAAGCATTAATGATTCTAGAAAATCAACATGACTAACGCCGCTGAACAGAAGACAAACGCGGAACAAAGATGGTGGAAGTGAGAGAAAGCCTTCTGCGCGATAAATCTATGGTTTAAATCAATGGCTTAATACTTTACGTAATGTTCATTGACAGCACAAATATTTCAATTAGGTGCGTAATTATTTAACGTTATGCCTCTTAAAATTAAGTAACCAAAACATATAGTTACCTTGCCTAAACCAAAGCTTTTCTTTCACTTAAGCATTGCGAAAGAAATATTAATGTCTATAAGTCACTTCAAAAATGGCTTACGTTCGATATGTCGTCATTCAAAGAAATCGACAAAGATAACTGATATTGGTAATGGAAAACAAAGACATACTTTAGCGCAGATAATACTGGCTCGTATAACTTCGGAATAGGTGATTATGTTATGATTACAGAGCGGCTCCGAACATAATTGAAAGATATGTATTTGAAAGACGCATCTGCGCAAGCGGGAATGCGCGGGCTGTCATTAAATTTGAGCACGCCATTTTTATTTTCGTGTCATCGGTGATTTTGATATTGATGATGAACTTTGCAAAATTATTGACGAACACAAAGGATTACAAAACGTGTAATGATGTTGTAAACAAAAGCGTCCCTAAGGATATAATGACTTTTATATAGGTACTATAGAATGTGATTCAATACGTATACAGAACCCGCTAACATTATTATTTTCGTGATATTATAAATATTGCAGACAGAACTTAAAAAAGTCAATAAAACCTTTAATAAAGTAAGATGTTTTAAAAATTACCGTCTTAAGATTATTCAATTAACCGTATTTACAAAAATTAACCACTTAAAATATAAAAGAGCAAATGAGCTCTTAAAAACCCATAATAAGCCCAGTCATTCAATAGTCCCTTTTAAATACTCTAAGTGTAATTTACACGGATTCTGCAAAAAAAACTATTGTTGCTGGCACAAAAGAAAAAGAAGACATCATAACGGTTAACAATGGACATTCCAAATTTAAAGTTACATCAAAGAAAGGCGGGATCCTATGCTCCATATGTTTCAGATTAAAATATTACACGGGCAAAACAGTCATCTGTCATTGGCAGCACGGCACAAGACCGCTTGATTGAGGAAGTCATTTCTTGTATTTCTGAACGGAAATAACATTTTTTAACATTCCCCTATATGCGCTGCGGGACATTAGAGATTATTGTTGGGTAGATATCTCTATCATTATTACACGTACATTAGATAAATGAGAAGGGATTCGTATCACGGATATAATTACAAGAAAATAGAATATGAAAACGTCATTTCCAGGTGTTGAAAATTTATGTTTTATGTGCGTTTCAATCAAAAATGAATGGCTATCGAAATAAAATAAAATAAAAATTAAGATTAGTAGGTAATTTTTAATTTGCTTAATTCGATACCTACCTATATCTTACTTTAAAATTCTAAATGTTCAGCCTACAGTCTACACTACAGTCTTGACGTAAAATCGATGATTAGCCGGTGATCTTCTGGTCTACCTGACCCATAGATGGGCGGAGGCAGTAGAGTCCAAGGGGGAGGCGTTGGCCGTTAGTTTGGACATTGCGAAGGCCTTCGATCGGGTTTGGCACAAAGCGCTTCTTTCGAAGCTCCCTTCCTATGGGCTTCCCGAGAAATTATGCTATTGGATCACCAGCTTTCTTGCAGATCGGAGCATCAAGGTCATTGCGCACGGTGCATGCTCCGACTACAAGCCTATTAACGCTGGTGCTCCACAAGGCTGCGTGCTATCACCAACGCTGTTTCTTCTGCATATCAATGATATGTTGCAAACCGGTTGCATTCATTGCTATGCGGATGACAGCACTGGTGATGCTCTATACACCGGCCGTGCCAATATTTCTCGGGAAAACGTCGCCGAGTACCGGAACAAACTTGTGTCTGAAGTCGAGTTTTTGCTGGACAAAGTCTCGGATTGGGGCCGACTAAATCTAGTCCAATTTAATCCTCAGAAGACACAGGTTTGCGCGTTTACCGCTAAAAAGAACCCCTTTGTCGTATCTCCTCAGTTTCAAGGTCTTGTTGCCTCAGCCAGTATCGGAATCCTCGGAGTCGACATATCGAGTGACGTGCAGTTTCGTGGTCACTTGGAAGAGAAGGCCGAATTGGCCTCTAAAAACTTGGCGTGCTCAGCAGAGCGGGACAGTATTTCATGCCGGCACAACGCCTGCAACTTTACAA